TTCCAAGTTAAGTCAAAAGAACTCGACTAGCCTGTGGCAGACAGCCAAAAGTCTGAATTATAGCTAATGTACACAGAGGAGTCATTTAAAACATTCATAATGTTTAGAAGAACGTTGAACTCTCAGAAAACAGCTGTATAATTATCCACGCCACGTTTTCAGTCAACCACATAAATCATCAGTTCTGAGAGACAACTCAATGTAGAAATCCTGAGAAGAGTTATGACGAGCTAGCAAAACCCAAACTTCCATAGAGTCTCATTTTATATATCTGCTAAAACACTTAGATTTCATAGTTTATTCCTTATTTTCACTCCCCCGACCTAGGCGACGACGTCAGAAACTAAACGCTCTGAACACGCAGGAATGTGCTAGCCGTAAATACGGGAGTTTGTCCTGTCACGCAGACTACATTTGTATCCCACCGTCTGCCACTAACGCTATCCCAGAAGCCCGGAGCCAGAGGCCGCACGTTTGCAGCGGGAGATTGGACGGCTTCCAAGTGGCGATGGATTTCTATGAGGGCCTGCATGCAATACAAAGCAATACGCTAACTCTTGAGAACTGGCTACGTATTTCTCTGATTTCAGGAAACCTCTCGATTACACTTTAAGATAAATTCCAAGTGGCTACAACGCATTACCTAGAATTAAAACGACGAATTACGCTCTACGCAAAAGCACCAATTACGCTATACGTAGAATTAGAGGGGTCTGTCTACTCTCCACGTAAAATTAAAACGGCCGATTACGCTCTACGGAAAAGGGGCATGCAGGCACTCTTCTATTGGACGGCTTCCAAGTGGCGATGGATTTGGGAGAGAACTCCCCTGATGATCTGTCTTTTCTGCCAGAGGAATACCCGATAGTTAGGCAGGCCAGACATGCGCAGTGCGGAGGTTGAGGCAGCGTGCGTTTTCACCTGTGACAGTTACAGACGGCAATGCGGGACTGGCCGCGGGCGGGTGGAACATGGCGACTCATTCGTCACCGCGCATTCGGAGTGAAGGGACGTGTTGCATCTAGAACTGTGATTTATCTAGAACCGTGCTACATCCAGAACCATACTTAATCCAGAACCGTGCTTTTTCCAGAACCGTGCTACATCCAAAACCATACTTAATCCATAACCGTACTTTATCCAGAACCGTGTTATATCCAGAACCATGCTTCATCCAGAACCGTGGTTTATCCAGAACCGTACTTTACCAAGAACCGTACTTTATCAAGAACCGTGGTTTATCCAGAACCGTGCTTTATACAGAACCGTGCTTTATCCAGAACCGTACTTTATCCAGAACCGTACTTTATCCAGAACCGTGTTATATCCAGAACCATGCTTCATCCAGAACCGTGGTTTATCCAGAACCGTACTTTACCAAGAACCGTACTTTATCCAGAACCGTACTTTATCCAGAACCGTACTTTATCCAGAACCGTGGTTTATCCAGAACCGTGCTTTATACAGAACCGTACTTTATCCAGAACCGTACTTTATCCAGAACCGTACTTTATCCAGAACCGTGCTATATCCAGAAGCATGCTCAGGCACGTATCCAGAACCATGCATTAGACAAACCCCCGTTCTTGGATACGCGGAGACTATCCAGAACCATGCGTGATAACCCATACGATACGATAGGAGGTTACACTTGGACAAGATAAGAGACAAAACTGAAGGAGAAGATGCAAGATATTACGCTGCCAACTTCGCCTTACAATTCCTGCGATAAGAAATATCAGCCGGTATTTCATGTTTCTATAGGACATTAAACTACGCCAAAGCAACCCGTTACTCAAGCAACTGGATATGATTTTGGAAACGGTCAGACGTTTCAGGTAGCACCCAATGCCTTTCGTCAGTGACTGAGAGACCAGAGGAGAAATGCAAGTTTATAAGCACAAACTATTGATTGATACGTAAATAAGTGAAGACAAATTCTATGAAAGTCCCAAAGGAAAGAAAAGTTAGTTGAACTACATTACTGGTGTACGGGAATACTGACAATCCATAAGTTACAACTTTTAATTGTGGCGGCTTTTCGTGGGTGAAATAGAAACTTGCCTAATGTTCCAGTTTTCAAGATGAATATGTCTAAACCTGACCACAGTAGAACTATTGATCGTGCTATGCTGCCCCCCGTAGCGCAGGCTGGATAATTGGATGCATACGCGCCAATAATTGGAACAAACGGGAACACGGAGTACTTGGCTAATTGAAGCGTAACGCCACCTCCTACTGCGGGAACCATGCTAAGGCCATTGCAAGTAAATTTTATAGATGACATCGTCCGTAGACTCCAAATCTAATGCGAGAGGGCTAAAAAAAACAAGGCGGGCCCTCCAAAAAAAGATTCCTACATTTTCAAATTTTGACATCATAAACCTTGTTAAACAAGAACTGATACATATATTGTGCTACAACTACCATCACATATAAAGGAATGAAATGCATTGCATTAATTTGGTAGTACTAGTAGTAAATGTACAGACTGACTAGTACTAGTAAAAGACAAGAGAATAAATCAAAGCCTTTTCTTGTCTCCTCTCTTCATATTCATCTGCCTTTCACGTTCCGGCATGGCAACAGACATCTTTGCCCATTTTCGGCTTGTTGATCACTGTCAGAGGGTAACAAAATTTCTTGTTTTATGTCCAAAATCAGGCGAAAATTAATGATGCCATCCATAAACATGACTTGCCGTGGCCTAATTCCCAACCCAAGGGTCACCTTCGTAACGTTTCTTCCCGGCGTAGTTTCACGTCGCCATGTGACATGTGAGTTCGCCCTCACGGCAAGGTGAACAATACCCGGGGGATGGCCGGCTGAATTTGTTAGTATTCTGTTACATTCTTTTCAACCTCAGGCTTCACACCGAAAGGCACAGAGTATATAAAGGGGAACACACAACTGTTACTCAAGCAACTCGACAGACTGTCGGTTTAAAAATCTATCCAGTTGGTGTTGTAATGAGTAACAATTTCATTATAAGTATCGCATTAGTCAGATGTCTAAACTTCATCGACGTATAAGAGAGAATAGAAAATAGAATAGGGCCCACGGCTGCCCTGTTTTAGTTTGAATGTTGATTGTATATAGTGTGTTTTGTTCACTTGTCTTGATTTTTAATCAACTGTTTGTATAAATCGAAGCACAATTCAGGGGTGCGTTAGTCAATCCCTGCTTTTGTACGAATTGAATAGAGTCTGGGAAGGTAGTCATCCCTGACTGTTGCATGGGCACCTTTTTATGTGGGCGTTTGGTGGATTTATTTCTTGTCGCCATTTCTTAACGTACACTGGATATGATGCGGCCTACGGTTATTTTTAGATACGCAGTTAATTAAGGTATTTGATACTGGCTCACACACACACACACACACACACACACACACACACACACACACACACACACACACACACACACACACACACACACACACACACACAGACACACACTCTCTCTCTCACACAGACACTCACACACACACACTCTCTCTCTCTCTCTCACACAGACACTCACACACACACAGGCACAGAGAGAGAGAGAAAGACAAAGAAACTTGAGAGGCTGCGTGACAACTCGAGGATAATTTCCAGCTTGTCAGCTCCCCACAAAACAAGCGTTTACCGACAATAAGCGTTAACACGAATAACCGCGTCAGCTGAAATTTGCTGAGTAATGATAATGACTGCGCCACCTGTCCCGCCACGATAGGCAGAACCACCGTCTCGTTAATGCGGGGATACGGCATGATAGATGCCGCTACACGCCGGGTGGGTTTGATGTGTTCACAGAAGCTGTCCGTTATCCAAGAAGCCGCCCCCGGGCATCGGTGAAGTTTAGACATCCAGGTAGTAAGATACGCAACAACAAAAAAACAGTTACTCAAGAAAACAATGTGTCTTTGCTTATTTGCATACCATTCAATAGTTCGTATTTAATATAAACCTGCTTTTCTGACAACTCTCCAGTGTCACTGACGAAAGGTAGTGGATGCTACCTGAAACGTCTGACCGTTTCCAAAATCATATCTGCTTTTTTTGCCCCCAGGCGCTTCGTCTGCACACAGAAGGAAGATCGACGTGTTATTTTCGCGTTTTTCCTGTTCAGAGACTAGACCGTGAGTCTCCGCTTTTCCAGCACGGTTCTGGGGATGTCACTTGTCAACCCAGGACGGCGCTGGCATAGCGACTGTACCTGTTATGTTATAACCGCCGTGCAACAAATATGCTGCGTGCGGTGCTGTACAATTGTTACGATACAATATCTATTGCTATTGTATCGTAAGGAGAGGATGTAGGACTCGGGAGCTATAATAGGTTCGGAAACCAAGCTAGCAAAATTGTAAATGACCAACAGACTGTAGACTACTGCAGACAGTAGTGTTTTTGCAGATACAGCAATTGTGCTATAGGGATATCTGTAGAGGTATCGCATCGAACAGGTCATGTTGTATCCAGAGCAGTACATTATCCAGAACCAGACACGGTTCTGGATAGTCCACGCGTATCCATAACCGTGCCTAGGGCAAATCTACGACTATCCAGAACCGTGTCAAATCCTATCCCTTACCCAATCAGTCATAGCACGGTTCTGGACAGTACAGTTTAATCCGTGGACAGCAGCCTTACCTGTTGCTGGACAATGGATAGACACTCCTGGATAGTGGTTAGTGATTTATAACGTCTTACCTGTTGCTGGACAGTGGATAGACGCTAAGGCCCATCTGCATGACCTCCTGGTAGGACGGCGGGGATAGAGTTAGCCGTTAATATAGTGGTAATGGATTAGTGATAAATTACGTGAACAACAGCCTTACCTGTTGCTGGAAAGGGGGTAAACAATCATGGTTAGTGATAAGGGGTAGGTATAACGTGGGACTTACCTGTTGTTTGACAGTGGGTAGACGCTCAGGCCCATCTGCATGACCTGGTAACACGGCGGGGCTAGAGTTAATGGTTAAGATTAGGGTAAGATATAAGTTACGGGAGACTTACCTGTTGTTTGAGAGTGGATAGACGCTCAGGCCCATCTGCATGACCTCCTGGTAAGACGGCGGCGGCGCGTAGTTGCGTGACGGGCTGATGTCTGACAGGGACGGGTAGGACGAGAACACCAGGTCCACCAGCTCCGTCCCGCTCCTCGGGATCCGCCTCAGCCTCCGCGCGGACTTCCTCTTCCGCACGAAGTACAGGCACAGCCCCGGCAGCACGAATCCGCCGCTGATGGTCAGCGAAACGGGCCCGGCGATGGCGAGCGAGTTGGCGTTCTCGCTGTCCAGCTGCGCGCTGAGGACGTGGCCGAGGATGACCATGAGCGACCCGGCGGTCAGCAGGGACATCCCCACCACGATCATGCAGATCGAGAAGCGCAGGTCCCGGTCGATCCGCTTGCACGGCTCGGCGCACCCCGCGGCCTCCATCGTGCATATCCCCGCTCGTGCCGCTCCCGCTTACGGAAGATCCCTGATGGTGTACAGTTCCCGCTTACGGAAGATCCCTGTTGGTACAGTTCTTCCCCCGGTTTTTACCGAAGATCTTGCCGCCTCCTGTAGCTAGCACCAGCTGTCAGGAAGTCTGGCTCCATAGCTGGCACCATCCTGCAGTAACAACAACCAAAATCAATGCTGACGATAAAACGGTTCGATAATACTGAATACTAAAGCAGCTAGTAGCGCTGCTTACACGCTGTGTGTCTACCTGTGTGTGTCGCATTTCTGTGGTGCAGGGGAAACCATTTTGATACTGTCATCAGGCATTAGCATATCATTAATAACCTAGCAACTGTGAGAGCGTCTGTCCCCCAGTCAGGGCGTATAGAAACCCACGGTCAATGCTGACGATAAAATGGTTCGACAAAACTGAATTATAAAGCAGCTAATACAGATCTAACGTTCTCTGTGTCTGCTCTAATGTGTGATGTGGAGCAGGGAAAGCCAGTTTGATACTGTCATCAGGCATTAGCATCTCATTCAGTATACTCTCCTAGCAACGGCAGGAGCGTCTGTCTCCGTCCATGTTATATACATTTGTAATACTGGAGTCAAGGCGTATAAAAACCCACGGTCAAAGCTAGATAAAATGGTTCGATAATACTGAATAGCAGCTACAGAGCAGCTAGCGTGTTCCCTTGTCTGTGTGTGGGATGCGGTGCAAGGAAAACCCGTTCGATACTGTCATCAGGCATTAATGCGCATCTCATTAGTGCCCCAGCAGACAGCGCACCCACGCACAGTGCAGGGTAAAACTGCGTAGTTGTGGCCACAGCAATTTTATTTGTTGGCTCTCGGATTTTTTTTCCGAAAAAAATATGAAGCGACAGGGCAAAAAAACAACAGATTTATTCATCCTATGATAGCCTCAAAAGATATGATAGGAGCCGTGAAGTCAACATATTCTGATTGAAACAATGAATTCTATTTCTAAACTTTTTACCAAACCAACGCATTGATAGATGGAAAAATTGTGACAATTAGGAAGGCAAGGAGCTTTCTTGAACTGTTGGGACCAAAATATAAGTAATTTTGATAATGAGTTGATTCAGAACCTAAATCAACAAAAAAATGAAGCGGGTGAATCCTAGAACCAATTGAATTAATCGGTGTAGCCTATAATATAATACCAGCTAGAAACGGGCAGAGAGCAGAGCGTTATGACTGAAATGAACCCGTCTGGGAAATTATCGGACAGCAATCAGATTATTTTGCAGACACATCAGACTGTGTACAGACTTCAGGTCGGCCTTTTTTATAGTTTATTTGCCCGATTCGTTATTCGTCTGAAATTGGAATGCCTTATAGATACTGTCTGGACTCCTCTCTGCCGAATTTTATGACGCAGACCATATTTTCTAGCCTCCTATTGGGGTTGGATATGGAATTCAACTGTCAACCCTATCAAAAATAGGGTCTGACTGGCCAGGAGAGGGTGTGATTTTTTTTGCTCGCATAGTACCCGAGGCGATGTTGTATCCAAAACCGTGCTTTATTCAGAGCCACGCTCTGGCACGGTTCTGGATAGCCCACACGTATCCAGAACCGTGTCTGAGGCAAATCTACGTTCTTATATATAATTAGATACGATGGAGACAGTCCAGAACCATGCCTGACCCTAACCCTAACCCATTCAGACATAGAACTAAATAGGATACTTACAGGTTCCCCTAGATAGGAGGCTTATAGGGAATAGAGACTATCCAGACTAACCCTAACCCATTCAGGCACAGAACTACATTGGCACGGTTCAGGATACGATAGAGACTATCCAGAACCGTGCCTGATCCTAACCCTAACCCATTCAGGCATAGAACTACATTGGCACGGTTCAGGATACGATAGAGACTATCCAGAACTGTTCCCAATCCTAACCCTAATCCACACAGCCATACAACTAGATAGGCAAGGTTCAGGATACGATAGAAACTATCCAGAACCGTGCCTGATCCTAACCCTAACCCATCCAGACATAGAACTAGATAGGCAGGGTTCTGGGTACAATAGAGACTATCCAGAACTGTTCCTGATCCTAACCCTAACCCATTCAGCCATACAACTAGATAGACACAGTTCTGGATACGATAGAAACTATCCAGAACCGTGCCTGACCTTAACCCTAACCATAACCCATTCAGGCTATAACTAAATAGACACGGTTCTGGGCACGGTAAGTACGTAACGCCCAGACGACAGGTGGCGGCGGCGGCGGCGCGCGGGAAACTTCTCGGCACGTAACCTGCGTCATGACGTCACGTTTGACGTCACCCGCGCGCAGAAATAGGTCAGCCCGCCGCCGGGTCATTAGGGATCCGCACGTCCGCGTCGCGTCACGTCACGCGCTCCGGTGTCCTTCGGGACGTTCTAGCAGGGATATTACATGATGATGATTCTGTATCCGCAAAACCTGCCGTGAGTCACGTCTCTGACGACTGCCGAAATTACGCCACAAAACAGCTGCACTACCTTCATCCAGTGTCGCTGACGAAAGGTAGTGGATGCTACCGGTATCTGTGTATCTGGATCTGTATTGCCGGTATAACACACCAGCTTCGCAGGCACGTGGCACGGCGGTAGCTGGCTACATTACACCGAATGACTTGTTACACCTCACCCTGGAACATCTAACATTTAAAGCTATCTAATGATAATGTCCCTATTGAAATTAGTGAAAGTTGGTACCTGAAATATCTGACTCTTTCATAAATTATACCCAGTTGCTTGAGTAACTGTTTATTTTTTGCGTATCTTATTACCTGGATGTCTAACCTTCACCGACGTACTGCGGAAAGTGTGCACACAGGACTATCGAAAACCCCCAAGAAGGCGAGTACTCCGGCCCGTGCTCTAGTTCAATCTCGGCCCGGTAACTATTGCGGCATTAGTGACTCGTTATCTGAAATCGTTACGACGTAGCCCAGTTAATCACCGTCCAAGGCGACCGGCAGACGTCTCTATTTGCCAGCCGGGTGGTTTAACAGGTCTACAGTATCTAATATAAACCCGTTGTGCTAGGCTTCACATATATACGGTATCCTCCTGCGTAGACTTTCTAGCGACCCCCGTTTGCTTTTACTAGCGCAAGCAGAAGTCATATAGCCCTGTCCTCATGTACAACTTTCGAGCTCCCCTTTCCCCAATACAGCTCTACACCGATACAATCCCTCCATTAGATCTCCTCTATATACAGATCCCTCCCTTCAAATACAGCCCCCGCCTCTCATACACCCCCCCCCATATACAGTTCTCTCTCCCATAAACAGCTATAATACACTCACACGAAAAGAAACAACGTGAGCCGCTATAAAGTCTTGTCCGTGCAGCGCCGTCGTCTGTTCACCTGGAAGGTCGCCCCACACGGCTGGTTTAACAGATCTACAGTATCTAATATAAAAAAATCGTTGTGCTAGGCTTCAGGCCTCCTCCACAGGCTTTCTAGTGACTACCGTTTGTGTCTACGATTGCGGCTAGCAAGCCGATACAGCTCTCACCAATAAACAGCTCTCATGACAGTGTCCTGTCATGTAACAGCTGACAGCTCAGCTGCTAAGCTGAGGACCGGGCGTAAGTATACAAACCATATATAGCTCTCACCCATATACAGCCCTCCTCACATATACACCTGTAATACCTAATACTGTAATACTGCTTTACCTGTACTCCCGTGCAGTCCGAACCTGTCCGTGCGATATTTCCCAGGAAGGTCGCCCCACACGGCCGCCCCGCTTCTCTCCGCGCAGACAGAAGAGCTGCTGTAGTAACGACGGTAATGACGGAGGCAGATAGATGGGCTTCGATCCGTCCGCCCGGGAGAGTAGCTTCCGGTGTGGAGCCAAATACATGAGCTGCCACATACGTGAGACGAACACTTACACTTAGTTCCTCCCGTACGTGCGAAGCACATTGGGCAGCAAGCTTCCTCCACTCTTTGGCCAGATTCTCAGCGCCCCTCTAATTTTCCATATCTTTCTGGAAAGCGCATCGCCATGTTAGCTTTTATTTTCGTCTCCCTCTCTTCCTCCTGTACACTCTGGTACCCATACGTGAGAGTCTGTCAGGATGGGTTAGGGTTAGGACCAGGCACGGTTCTGGATAGTCTCTATCGTATCCATGCAGAACCGTGTCTATCTAGTTCTATGCCTGAACGGGTTCGGGTTAGGATCAGGTACGGTTCTGGTCTCTATCGTATCCAGAATCATGTCTGTCTAGTTCTATGACTAGCGCTTGGATGGTGGATGGGTCAGGATCAGGCACGGTTTTGGATAGTCTCCGCGCATTCAAGAACGTACATTTCTCCTATGCATGGTTCCATTAGATAACTAAAATAGTCTCATCTCAACAAAAATTCTCAGAAAGCTACTCACAAGTAAAACTCTTTTAAACTACGTATTCGCTGAGTAATCACGACTGACTGAGCATCCGGCGGTGCGTGGTTCTCAGAGATAACAACCGTGCCTATCTAGTTCTACATCTGAATGAGTTTGGGTTGCACGATTCTGGATATGGACTATCAATGATGGACGTCTGCTATGTGCTAATAAAAAATCACCCCATCTCCAAAAAAATCTCAGAAGGCAACTCACAAGTACAGCTCCTTCCAATCAAAGAAACACTGAACTCTCTCAAATCAAAGAAGAATCATGCTTCAGTAAGCAGACGGCGATGGTTCCATGAGATAAATAAAGTAGTCTCATCTCAACAAAAATTCTCAGAAGGCTACTCACAAGTAAAACTCTTTTAAACTAATCTCCAAGCAGATCTTTTGGTACGGGTAAGACAGTATCACATTTGCCAGTCTGTAACCATTTCCCCACCCAAGTGGTGGTAGCGACAAAAAAAGGCCATATATAAAAAGCAAAGGATCTTCCACCATCAACCTCTGCTTGGAGAGTACTTTTAAACCGAGTATTCGCTGAGTAATCACGGCTGAC